ATACATACTGAGCCGATCCTGCTGATGATGCCCTAACACAACAAAACTGGTGTCCTGAATTCCACCGTTAACCACTATCCAACTATGTTTTAAAAAAATCGCTTGTCACTATAAGGAAGCACATGTACCAAAACCGAGTCCGATCGATTATAGTTCTTAATATCAATAACGGGAAACTTCTTATCCTAACAAATAGTTTTATTTTGATATAACGTACTATGTTAATTTGTATCATCCACTCAGGATCTTCTATTAATTACATCAAATCTCTACAATCCACAATCGTTTATTAACATCAGAAATTCCAATTAAATTAGTAATTGGTTTCTTTCGTCTTATAGGGTTTAAATCTGTATATCATTGAAATATTAATCTACTTCAATCATTATTACATACAGATAATCAATATTATAATGACTAGTAGGTGAATCATAGGTTATCATTATGTTGACCTATTTTATAGGTAGAATTGTGTTTATCACAAAAGTCGGCTATCAAAATGGTTGGTAATATTCGGTAAATTTAGACAGTTATATATACATATATGTTGTATACAATTATATACATATATATGGGAACATGAAGTTTCCAAATTATATCCAATGTCAATTGTATTAAAATGCTAAGTGAAAATGTTAATTATAACAACTGAATAAATTAAGATTAGTTACTGCTTCCTTTAATATAATGATAATAATAATGTATTATTTGCTGTATGATAGATATTGTAATGATCCGAACTTTATGAAACAGTTTGATTATAAAACACCAAAATATGATAAAAATACAGCAATCATTAAAAGCAAATAAAAGATTCAGAGAAAATAGCAACTGTTTCATTGTGTTCGATTTAAAACTATATTTCTAACCATGGATAATGGCTACCTTACATAGGCCAACCTAATAATCTGTGACTATCTATACAAGTCAATGATCAAGTTATTGATTTTATGAACTTGATATAATTCCCTCACCCACATCCGTCTAAATCTTTCAGCCTGCTCCTATTCAAACCTGAATAACGCATCTACATAGGCGTTGACTATGTTACTTACTTACTGTTACACCTCAGAGAGGAGCATAGGCCACTCATAAGCATTCTCCATCCAACCCTATCCTGAGCAATCTTTCCCAATTCTTTCCAGTTGTTACTCAGTCTTTTCATATCTGCCTCTATTTTCCGACATAGTGTGTTCTTTGGCCTTCCTCTTTGTTGCTTCTCTTGACGAGTTCAAGTTAGAGATTGCCTTGTGATGCAACTTGGTGGTTTACATAATGTATGTCCTATCCATTTCCATCGTATTGTCCTAATTTCCTCTTCGGATGGGAGCTGGTTTGTCCTCTCCCATAGAACGCTGTTGCTGGTGGTATCCGGTCAATGCACGTTAAGTATCTTGCGTATACAACTATTTATAAATACTTGTACATTCCTGATGATGGTTGTAGTAGTTCTCCAAGTTTCAGATCCCGTACAATAATACTGTCTTGACGTTCGTATTGAAAATCGTGACTTTGATATTGGTTGACAGAGAGTTGTTTTGAGTTCCATATTTTCTTCAATTGTAGGAATGCGTCCCTTGCTTTGCCAGTCCTCGCCTGTACGTCGGTATCTGATCCTCCTTGTTCATCGATGATGCTTCTCAGGCACATGAATGATTCCACATCTTCCAGAGTTTTTCCATCAAGTGTGATTGTGTTGGTGTTCTCCGTGTTGGAGATGAGGATCTTGTTTTCGCCTTTATGTGTAACGAGGCCTACTGATGCAGAGGCTGCTTCCATACCAGTAGTCTCCATCCGCATTTGTAGGTGTGTATGCGATAGGAGGGCTAGGTCATCTGCGAGTACCGAATCGTCTAATTGGTTCTGATCTGTCCATTGTTTTCCGTATTTTCCCTCAGGAGTCGTGGTCTCCATAATCCAGTCGACCACCAGAAGAAAGAAGACGTTGACTATGTACCGCCAACATAAACCTGATTAGATGAATCAGTTAAGATTAACAGTTTTCTTAGTTTACTTAAGATTTCTATGTATAACTTTAACACGGATCTCATTGTTACACACAATATAGTCCGATTGTATATCAGGAATAATTTAAGGACACTTACAATCAAATAAATGGAAAACTTACAAGTCTCCTGCTTTTATTAGCATCAATGCACAGTTGTCAGATAATACAAAACATAGTTCTTGTATAAATGCTAGATAAACTTCTAATCTACTACATATTTAGAGCGAATTACCAAAAAAACCATGATTAGTTTTTGTTAGATCTCTAACTACCATAGTTTATTTATTGATATACTTTGAGTCTAAAACCTGATAGAGTTTACATTCCATTTTGTACAAGTATAGCATACTGACTAGTCTCTCACAGTTTCTTTATAAATAATGAGCGTTCGCGTGCGAGACTGATAGGTCCTGGGTTTGAATATCACGGAACGGGATCGTGGATGATCACTGCCTAAGAGTCTCATACTTGGATGAAACGGCCGTCTAGTGCTTTCAGGTTTTCCATGGTAGTGATCTAGCTTCAACTGACTCATGAATTCAATTATTAAACTACTACAATCTTCTCAAAACCCCTGTCTGTAAATAACTAGCCATTATAATTGACCCAGTGTTGTATTACTTTTCAAGAGTTGATTGAAAGTAAGCTGATTTTTTTTAATCTTATAATAAGGAATAGTAGGAAAACGTTTAAAAGTTAAGGGCGTTTTTATGTCACATTCTACAGTGATGTAAAAATATGTAACACTAACCGGGAATGACGATTACTTGATGTTCTTTAGAGGGTTATATTACTGATTGTATCTTTGCGTATTATCAAATAATTAGATATGTTCTTTTTATCTGTACAAGTGATATCATCACTGTATTTACTTGAATTGCCTGCGAAGATTAGTTATGTTAGTCACTGATATATATCAAGTAAATGATTGTTGTAAATCAAGAAGTACTAGATAGCTGTTTCAATTTGGTCTAGAATTCGTCCATAGATATCTGTTTAATTCAGTAATAATCCACTTTGCAAGATAGTAAATTTTAAATAAATTCCTGAGTGTGTAGTGATGGATAATAATAATAATCCTTTATTAGTATGGCGTTATGAAGATAATTAAGATTTTGATTGAGATCAAGAACCGATTGATGCTATACCACCATTGAAAACCTGGAAGCACTGGACGTTTTCGCGCGCCAGACCTACGGCCATAGGTTCGAATCCCGCAAGCGGGATTGTTAATGCGCACTGCTGAAGAGTCCCACAACAGAACGAAACGACCGTCCAGTGCTTTCAGGTTTTCAATGTTGGTTTAATATTAATCGGTTTATGATTTCAATCATAATAATCCTTTAGTTGCCTTCTTATCAATACAAAAAATATAACTTTTGTAACATCTGCTTAATAATAAAGTCTTGAAGAGATATGAGGATTATCAGGCAATTTAATTATATTTACGGGTTAATAATTGATCTATAAAATACTATCGACAATAAATCACCGAACAAACATGAAACTGGTCACTACTTAGTGGTCAATTAATTGTAAATATTTCAGTCATAGAAGATGTCAGTTGTGGCCTGAATATCATGTTTGTAACGTTTCAAAATGTGAAACTGGACCATGCAGGCTCAAACTCCAAGGAGGACATCAGTTCCTTAAAACTTACAGGTTTCCCTTGCTGATGTGTGCCAAATAGAACCACAGTTTTATTTTAACAACCTCAAACCAGCTAATAACCCACGTAATACTACTTTATAGATCAGTTGCATGTATGTTTACAAAACTTTTAGATTACATAAAGCTATTCATTAAGATTGTATAATAGTTGAACTTATTTGATTGTGATCTTAACATAAAAAATAAACACATACTCATTAATAATTGGTCACAAGGAAAATTCTGTAGACTCTGTTGTGTAGCTGTGATTGACGAAGTTATCACTGATGGTAATAAATGGTTGTTGAACCTTATATTAGATTAACCAAGTTTACAAATGAAATACTTCTGGGTGTTAACTTAATAATTTGAATTTATTGCGATCGAAGATAGATCTGAATGTTTAGGGTTCAATCTGTGATGAGGTGTTACGTTTAACTGCAGAACGGTTCCATTCTGTGAAGAAACACCTGGTTTGGAGCCTCTTAGTTTATAATGATTCTCTAACTGAAGTTGGTCCGTAGTGCAAAACAGTATAATAATATAATGCAAATGGTTACTTTAATCAAGTCTTTAAAATTGCGAAACTTGCATAGAACTAAATAATTAATAAAAAGAATTAAACCTCTGTTGTGATCTAATTATCAAACGCCCAAATATAACTATCATATAGAATAAACTATATTCTTTTCAGTGTTGACGGCAATTGATTTTTTACGAATTGAAAGTCACTTAAACATTCATTTTTAGTAATTCATGAGTCAACTGAAGCTAGACCAACATGAAAAACCTAGAAGCACCGGGTGGCAGTTTCGCCCTAGTATGCGACTACTCAACAGTGCGCATCTACGATCCCGTTTAGCAAGATTCGAACCCAGGACTTACCGGTCTCGCATGTGAACGCTTAATCTATAGACCACTGGCCGGCATCCAACGGTGTTAATGTCTAACTCCAACTAATCCATGAAATCGAGCGACACATCCACCAGGTTGAACTCCACTGGTCGTTACTTCACACTAGGACTTCAGGAAATGCCTCTTGGAGACAGTCACTAGTGAGCATATGATGACAATTGACTTATGAATTCAACTATTAAATTACTATAATATCCACAAAACCCCTCTCTGATTATAAATTTTTAATTACTTTTATTCATCTTAGTCATTACCTGTTACTGTATCATTTATTACTCTGAGCCTTATTAGTATCGGGAGATTGGTAGATTATTTTAATCAAGCAAGTTAACTATTGCTTTGATATCTTACTAACATCAAACCAAATGTCATTGCATTTAATTATGATGCTCAAAAGTATAAAGTTTGAAAATGTTTTAAATCATACCTTCTTCTGAAGCAGTGAAACCACTGCTTTGACCTTGAGAATGTGATATATTTTCATGGGCTAAAAGAGGTGACTGTCTGTGAACAGAATCAGTGCCTTGTGAACTGGGTTCCGATTGATGTCCATGACCATATCGTTGTCCTCTTTTAGTTGGTGGTAAAGTACTTAAAGCACTTTTACTACGAAATACATTACTGTTTCTGTTTTTACTAGGTCCTGTATTAGATGAAGAATTAGCATGATCAATATCAGTATTTTCTAAATTAGTGTATTCCAAGTCAAGAATAGTTTGAGTTTGAGGTTTTGAAACATAATCCTGTAAAGTTGCTATTTCATCACTATGAAATCGAGCATGATATGTATCTTTCAATAATTCCTTTTGTATATTTTTTTGTGAATCAGAATTAGAAGCGATTTCTGTAAGATGTGTATCTTCAAAACTTGCTTGACGTTTAGAATCTGAAAATGGACTAAGTTTTGCAGAAGTTGTTCTAACTGTTCGTTTACTACTTAAACTACTTTTATTAAGTTTAGCTATTTGATTAAATTGTTGTGCTATACTTTCTGGAATAACATCTGAACTCAATAAATTTACAGTAATAAGATCAATTTTAGGACTAGAAATAGGTGTAGAAGTCATAGTTATCATACTAGTAGTATTTGTTGTTACATTAGTAATAACAGAACTAGTAGTAGTTATCGTTGTTATTGTTGTTGTTGTTGTTGTTGTTACAGTAGTATTAGTAGATGTAACAGTAGTATTGATAGTTTGTACATTAGGACAATTCTCTTCAAAATTTGTCATTATCAATTTAGATGATTTATTCATTTCTTCTTTTGAACGATCTTCTTTATTCGTTACATTATCATGAATATTAATTAATGATTTACCTAAATCATATAGAATTTTATCTGATATACTATTTGAATTAGAATCTGTTAAAGTAATAAATTCTTTTCCTAATATTTCATTAGATGTATTTGAATTTCCTATTGCTAATGGAAGATAATATATATGTTCAGTTGGTTTATCCTGTTTATGCTCATATTGTAGATCGTCTTCTTCAAGAACAATATTGAATACTTTTAAATTAGATGTATCATTTTGTTGAAATAATTCATTACAAGTATTTTGATCTAGAACAGTTTCAATGGTATCATATGTTTGAGTATTATTATATAATTGTTTATCATGTAATGTATTTATAATATTGATTGATTGATTTTCTTTAGAATTTTTTGCATGTTCTTCTAGATTTGTTGCTATGGGATCAAAATTTTTATTTAATTCCTCATTCATTCTATTTTCATAACATGATACATATATATATATATATATATATATATATATATTTGCTATATTAAATGAAATAATTGGCATTCAGTAGTATAAAATATCATTGAATCGTAAGTTTGTTTTGTTTTGTTCTTTTTTTTCTTCTCATTCATTCGATGAAATAGTGCCAGATCTATCAAATGGTTGACGTAGAAAGTTTTATATTTTATCTATCTATGTTGTAGATTTGAAAGAAGCAAATAACAAACTGAATTTATTCTAATTGTATATGTATCCGAGATTGTGAGATGGGAGCATATACGAATGCGCGTGCGTGTGCGTGCGAGAAAGCGAGCGAGAGAGAGAGAGACATGAACACACCCTATCCATATAGATATTCAAGAAAAGTAATCAATCAAAAGTGAAGTATAACCAAGAAAAACAATGAACCAATTAGAATACATGCTTGTGTGTATGTGTGTGTGTGTGTAAAAGATTTTCCCAATTGAACGCCTACATCTGTAAAATAGCACAATGTGTTATAGGTTTTAAATCATGTGAATTTATAGTGGAAATTTCTGATTAGTTAATGTAATGATAGTTTGTTAATCAGTAAAGAAGAAGAAAAAGAAGAAGAAGAAGAAAAGGAAGAAAAAGAATATAAAGAACAGAAGAAAAAGAAAGATGAAATTAAACTGTTTATCCTATCAAAAGGACAGTGAGAATTTGTGTATATAATCTACATATATACATATATAGGTGTGTGTGTGTGTGTGTATGTGTGAATGTACGTACAGTATAAACCATGAACTTTCAAATGAGTTTTCTGATAGACAGAAATAAATAGACATGTGTAATTTTGTGTCTACCAGACAATTTATTTTGGTATGTTTTTTTGTTGTTGTGTAGAATGATGTAGGATAATCAAATTACTTGATATATATTATTGTATATGATTATTCTATTTCCTGTTAATTGTGTGTGTTATAGTAAAAGTGTGAACTATGTAATTCTATTCTATGTGAATTATTGTTCATAATGATAGATGAATAATACATCGGTTTACTGTTAAATGCTTTTATTTTTTAATTGTTAATAAACCTGTTGTTGATCAACAGTGTTTAATCACTTTGTAGGTAAAAGTGATGTGTTTATATAATTGTATCATGTGAGATGTACGACCTATTGTATTGAATCAATAAAGGCTGTTTAATCAATACTTCTTATACGTCTTTTACAATACATGTTACTTCTCGTGGAGGAGCATAGGCTGCCCACTAGCACTCTCTATTCAACTGTGTCTTGGACAATCCTTTCCAGTTCTTTCCAGTTGTTACTCATCCTGTTCATATATGTTTCTAATGAGATCTAAAGCTGAATAAAGTGAACAAAGGATTCGATAAAGAAAATAGGATTAAATACCTAAAAATATTTTTCATTTCGAAGATAGTTGATATCAGGAAGTGATTTCAGCTAGATAACTAATGAAAACCAAGGAGCATTGGATAGGGCTTTCATTTAGTTCATAGTTGATGGGCAGTAATTCTCGATTATGTGAACTAAGAAATGATAATCCGTTCAAAAGTTTGGAAGGTCTAACAGATAATGATTAAGATGTAGTCAGCTTGTTTGATAAGAAAATGACGTTCGAATATGTAAAACGCCATTCAGTTAGCACGTATTTTGTACAGTGAAACAGCAATAACTCCAGAAACATCATAAAAAAAGAAAATGAGCAAGGAAGTCACCCTTATTGGTTTGAAAAGTGAAGACGAATTCTGCTATTAAAATTATCAAAGATGAGAAAATCAGGTCGGACGGATCGATAACTTTTTGCTTAAGACCATAAACTGATTGACCACCGTTGAAAACCTGGAAGCACTGGATAATGGTTTCGTCCTATTATGGGACTCTTCAACACTGCGCATCCACGACCCCACTTGCGGGATTCGAACCCGGGACCTATCAGTTTCTGTGAGCCTTTGACATTTGATGCTGACCACACTAGTTTTAATGGACTCACCTAGCTGAAGACACTCGGTCACGCATCTCCACATGGTCACGAGTCAGTACGCCGTGCTTCACATCTCCTACAACTGCTAGTCAGCTTAGATTAGTCACTTCTTGACACATCGATATTCTATCAAATATATCTTGGAACTTCTTCTCTCCTGACTTCTGGTTTCACTGGGTCCACACGTTTCTATCATAAATAATGTTACTGTTTAAGGTGTTGTCATACTCCGAATACTTGTGACATCATTAAGCTAATCTTATCTTTTGGATATAATGTTTTCATCCTAACATCAGGTAATCGGTAAACGCTTAAGATTTTAGCGGCTGGCGTTACAAGTTCTTTTTATGTTTGCTCGTAGGCTCAAGTTTATTTCGATTTGAAAAAATTACGATTGTTTGAGTCATTGAAGCTAGACATGCCTATATAATTAGTGTTTCAAAATGAATTGCTAGAAGGTTTATCTCCAATTGTCTATTTAGTGACTACATTGACTGACATGAAGATTTCCAGCCAAAGTGGTCTATGAACTATTGTGAAACTTTTATCCTCTCGTTAGGCTGGCAAATCAGGGAAAACATCTGCCACTGGAGCTAACAGGATATTAGAATCCCAATACGGGAGCTTCAATTCTCAGGACAGTTTTTTTCTCCGCTTCGTTCACTTCTTGATGTTACAGTATGGATTCCGATCTCTAATAACACTCAATATAAATAGTATAGTTTCTTGGCTGTGATAATCTCACTGTATTTGATAGATAACTGGGAGTTTATATTTGGCTGTAAATAGGTACATTTATTCTAAAGCATTATGATTAATAGAACTATCAGTTGTCACAGTACCAGGAAGCAGTTTGACTGATTACTTAGAATGACGATCAGCAAAGCAATGACAACGGTCAGAACAAGTAAATGAATAGTTTCCACAAACAATGTGACCAAACAAAAGTACGAGAACAATAGACAGACTGAGGCAATACGGAGTGAAATGAATAGAGTAGGGCGTATCAATCAAGATAAAACTTGTGACACTACCTGTGTATTGGAGCCATTGACTATCAAATACATTAGTTTGTTCCTGTTGTTAAACTTGTGCTCAGTTGCTTGCAAATCTATTTATCTGTTAATCATATTCCTTTATTATTTTGACAGGAAATTACTTGAGACACGCTGAATTATTAACACTATGAATAGTTCGAATCCATTTAAATGACATTTAGTTTAGACAATTCTACTGTCAGTGCTATTCCAATTCTTGTAAAAGTGATGGAGTTTCTGAGTGACAGTGTCAATAAGAACCTGATTCAATTACAAATAGATCTTATTGTGGGGTTATTCTAATACTACTGTTTTTTAGTCTAGTTGTGTTCACTTGTTTGTTGCTGATGTACATGCTTGTTAACCGAAGTACTTAACCACCTGCTCAGAAAATTTTCTGTTCTAGTTGTTATTTAACTCGTTCGTCCTCGATCACTAACTTTGAAAATCATGAGTATAACAGTTTATTGCTTGTCAACCATTTGTCTCCTTGATACTTGTGAACACCTTGGACATTTAGTTACATTTAATTTCGCTCTCATAGTACCCCTTTGTTCGCTTGTGAAGAGGTTATTTATCCTCAAGGATTAGTGTACAGAGATAAGCTTTAAAAGTGACTAAACTTTGATAATAAACAGGATTTCGAACATTCTTTTGCCTAGTATCGTGAATTGAGAATGTTTTCTGCGTATCGTATCGAGTATATTTTTGTTTTTATATAACTGCACTTTATTTTTCGTTGTATTTCGTGTTGACCAATTTTAACACTACCAGCTGAGCAGTTATACTGTTCTCACCTTACTACCTGCTGATTACTGGATCAATAATTTTAACTGCGTAGTCGACACTATGGTTACGAGAAATCATAAAGTCCGAACACTGAAAATACACGTTGTTACACATTTGTTACGCTTTCATCTAATCGCCTAATTGTGTTAGTTTTTGTCTGACACGGATGCTGATTAGTGAGTTGCTTAATCTTTAGTTAAACTCTACATCCCTTCATATATATATATATATATATATATATATATATATATATATATATATATATATATATATATATATATATATATATATATATATATATATATATATATATAGCAGAAGTAATACTCCAAAAATCATTAGACGTTAAGGCTAAATGCTGGAATCTAGTTGTTGCTGTCATGTTTTGTTTCAACTTTTGTGTGAGAATCAAACAATTCGAAATCAGGACCAGTATTTCTAAAATTATCGATCTGTGTAACCCCAATATGTGAGTAAGTCACTTTAGTTTATCTATGAAAACGAGTACGAGTGTTGCCTACTTGTTATCAGTGGGGTGTTTACCTTCTGCGTCTTGCAGACATAGTAGTTCTTTCCGTTCCGGACAAACAACTTCTGATTTGCATTTTGTAAACGATGATTTCCTACAACTGTTTTGAAACTCCGTTAGTTTATCCTGGGAATTCGTATTTACTACCTGAGGAGTCTGTACCGAATTCAGCGAACTAAAATGACTTAGTTTACCTAATGTGTTACTTAGTCTCCTAAAAAGTTAATAGACGTTTCCTAGATTTTACCAGGAACTCATACCTTTTCAAAATGTCTATTCCATGTACTGCAAGATCCTACTCAGTAAGAGCGAACACTTAGGACAGTTGACGTGGTATTGCACGACCTTAGAAATTTCGGTTTCATTAGCGGAAGAGGGATGACTGGTGAAGTTTTTCGTGCCGAGGCGGTTTCATTTTGGTAATTTTTATTCAGTACTACATCCACCAGAGATAAGGAAACATCCGAAAGTAAGAACATTGCTTATTTTTTGGTTCCACACGAGAGTATTACTACTCAAATGGCGTACAACACTGATTCCAATAATAGGTTAATTAATCTTGAATTTTTTTCTTCTAACCACCATTCTTTCAAATTCGTTTTTTCTTTGAACGATTGCTGCTAAAATCCATTATATTTGGCTATCGTATGACTGTAG